CGGTGATGAGGGGGTTGAAGGGGATAGGGTTAAGATGGTGAAGTGTAGGAGCGAAAGTGAAGTTGGACTGGAGCTTTGAGGCGACCGTGGCTAAAAAACCTTTAATTTATTTGATTATTAAGTTTGAGAGCATTTGTGTCTATTTAAGTGAAATTTTGAATATATTTAAAAGTTTTTATAAAAAGTGACTTTTTTGATATTAAAGGTTTTTTTACTATATTTGATACATACTCGTTTTGTAAAGACCCTGAGGATTGAATTGGACACAGTCACTGGGTTATGGTTCTACTTTTGCAGAGATTGAACAAATTCAAATCTCTGCAAAAGCCTTATCGGATTAAACTTTACGAAAGCATCACAATTGATTTTTTTTTTCTTTTCTAAAAATTGGATCTTTGCAATAACATTTTTGTTGGTGGAAATTTACTCCTGAGATTTGTGGACTCGGGAGTCAAATTGTTGGTGGAGCTGAGGATTTTTTCTTTTTTGGATAGTTTTGTACAATAAAAATGTTACTCTTACCACATATTTATATTATAATTGGAAAGCTTTTTAATGTGTCGGGAAAACAGACCGGTACACCAAGTGTCATAATACAAGTAGTTAGAGATTTTTTTTTTCAGTTTCTAACCACTTGTATTATGACACTTGATGTATTGAGAAGTGTTCCCATCACATTGAAAAAATTCTCCATTAATTGTATCATATCTCTAATAGAAATGAGACTCACATGCATTGATGGACTCTACCTCTATTAGAACAATATTACAAATAATAATATAAATAGGTGATAAGTCCAACATTACTCATTGTACCATGCACTTGCATGCCTGGGTCTTCAATGTCGTTGAAAAGGATAATGCTAGAGAAACTAAATTTGGAGACAAAATTTGTAAATGATGTATCATCAGTATAAATGAACACGTTTATCAAATCTTAAGTAATAAACTAATCATCAAATTCTATGTTCTTTTTTTTTTTGACAAAAAAAAATACTTCTCTCTTAATTTTTAAAATTTACTGACCGGTTAGTACCCAATTTGCCGACCCTTTGATGGGGCCCATTGATACTTTAACGCGTCTTTTAAATTTTTTTCTCAATATTTACTATCAAACCAAACACCAGCTATTACTTTAAACCCATAGCCAAACACTACTTTTCTTTTTCATCATGGTTGATTCGTCGACGGCGACCACTCCGGTCACTCCTCTAACCTTTCTCCTCTGTCAACCACCCCCACTATCTCCAATCCAATTGTCGTCCCATCCCGACTCCTTCCTAACCCATTGTCCCACCCCACTCCCACCTCCCTCATCGAGCCCAACGCACACTTCCTCTTCCAGATCGGAAAGGATAATGAGTTTGAAACATCGGACAGGTTGGAAAGGAGAAGTTTTATGTAATGAAGTTTTTTTTTTTCCCGAACAAACAATATTATCTACCCTAGATGAGTAGTAGATTCGTTCTTACAATGAGTTAGCAATAATATGATTCAAATTCTTTTTATACGACAGTCAAACTAAGATCACTTACTTTTAAGTGAAGTAGAGGAAAAATGTAAATCTCGTTAAAAACATGAGAATAAATTGTAGCAATGGTTCTTCAACTAAAAATCAATTATCATTAATCCCTTAACTTATCAAAATATGTAGATGTTTGGATCAAAACTTAAACTTTGGGCTCAGGGGAAGTTGGCCTAAATAGCAGCTTAAAAGGAAGAAGCCCAGTCAAGGCCAGTCAAAACCCAGTCGAAGCCAAAAGACAGGAGAAGCCCGTTTCTGACTAGGTGCAGGCCATGCAGACTACTTGCTCACCTACCCAATGGCCAAGTGGTATAGACCAGCCAGCTAATCAGCCCAAAAAGTACTTTTAAATGGCAGTACAAGTAAATAGCTGATGAGTCACTATCATTCAAACTACATTCGGGCAAGATTATTGCTACAAGAGGCCAAGCCAAGGTGTCTATAAAAGGAGAAAGAGAAGTCAAAATCAAGGACACTCAAACAAACAAAAAAAAGCACAAACTCTGCTCAAAGCCAGATTTGCCTTCAAAACGAAGTTGTAGTTAGCCCAAGCCTTCATCCCTTTCGGGATAAACCCTTTGTAATAACTCTACTACCCTGTTCAACACCTGCTGTAGTATCGATTTTCTTTCTGCAAACTCATTTCCCAACCCCTTTTCTAAGCCTTCAAACCTTCTGTTAACCCACAAAGATAGGAAGTTGCAAGACGATCAGCCTTGCCCGACCTCCTTTGTTTTTGTCTTTTCATTCATTAGCCTAGCAATATGTTGTATACTACAAGTTGTATCCAAGTTATTTATAGTAATATGGCTATTAAAAGACTCTCTCAGCGCTTGAATCCGATTTGAATATGTCTTTACAGTTCAAGTTAGATCTAAGTTCTAAGCCTTCGGGCATATAAGATTTGATCACCCTAAAAAGTCCTTGGCCTCAAGGCATAAAAAAAACCTGATGTGGACTTAACCCATCCACTACAAGCTTTGATAACAAGAAGTCCGAAGTTACTTGGGGCGCAAGTAATCGACCTGCCACTTGGTTTTATTTCTGTTATATTATGATGACCATATAACGTTCGAGTACGGGATGAATTCTGATGGGAAGCCTCAAGGCCTATTCAAGGCCCCACAAAGGCACCTATTTGGATTCATCCTATTTCTCGGGCAAGAACATTGAGTATAGAAGGGGTTCTGATGGGAAGCCTCAAGGCCTATTCAAGGCCCCACAAAGGCACCTATTTGGATTCATTCTGCTCTTTGAGCTCAGGTAATCAGAAGTATAATGGTTATAAGACCCATATAACTTATAAAAGGAACCTTATGTGTTTGAGTACTACGTTAGTTATTTATGGGAAGCCTCAAGGCCTACACCTAAGGCCCCACAAAGGCACCTGTCAATAACTAACATAGTCTCTCGAATATATATAATTAAAACTCAAACATCCGTTCTACATCTACCATGCTGAAGATGGTATGGCACGCCTGAGCAATTCAAAGTTAATCTTGATCGTGAGCCTCAAGGCCTACATTCAAGGCCCCACAAAAGTACCTTTCAAAGTTAACTCTGTCATTCTCTTTCAGCCTTACCCGACAAGCCTTGCCCGACAGGCCCGCCAGTAAAGCAGAAGCCCGACAGAAAGCATCAACCGGCACCAACCTCTCAGGGAGCTGTGTGCTCGTTGGCCAGGAAGCATTCCCCACGGAAATTCCCGCCACGAACAGTAGCTATAATAATTTTCGTCAAAATTTTGTCAAAATAAATTATATTGGAAAGACAATTCCTACTACAATTAGAGTCTCTCAACTAATCAAAACGTGTAACTATAGTTTTTTTTCGTCAACTTCTTGAAAATTTGTCAAAGTAAGTTATGTTGGAATGATCGTTGCTACAATTGGGTTAAAGTTTGAGGGACCATTGATCAAATTGAGTAAAAGTTAAGGGACCATTTATTCGGTTAGATTAAATTGAGGGACCAATGGTAATGAATTTTTAGTTAAGGGACCATAGCTGCACGTTTTGATGAGTTGAGAGATCAATAATAATAAATTTTTCGTCGAAAGATCATTGCTCCAATTAATGGTCCATTACTAAAATTTAGTCGAATAAATAAATTAAAAATATAAGAAGAGTAAAAATGTGAATCGCATTAAGATTTTAGGACTGCAAATAATTACAAGGACTGTAAAAGTAAAAGCAAAAGAATTTACAGTTTTGAACTGTACAAGCTGCACCCCGAAACACCAACGACCAACCACCGCGACAAGGAGGCCTATACGGTGTTATTTGGACCGCCGACGAGTACTGGCTTTGGAGGGACTAATTACTGACTCCAGGACAATGCTGTAGCACTTTCTCCTGCAAACTACGACTGCCTTAGAAACACAAACCAAACATTGGACTGCAATTCTTGGGCTATACACTTTTGATATACAATGTCATTTGAAATGCATTGTTTCTATGGCCTTATTTTTTCCAATATTTTTTTTATGCTCACTCCTTTGGTCATTTTAGTTGAGTGGATATGTTGGCTCAACAGGCAGCGGAAAAGGGCTCCAACACCGGAGGTAATCTTGACACATGTTTACTCTTTAATTCCTTGGTGTGATAAAGAAGAGAAATTTGTTTGGATTTGTTGGTAAAAAGCTGGAATATTTTTATGTTATTGTTTATTTTTGTTGGTAAAGGTAAAAAAGCTGAAATATTTTCTTTTTAATCACCATCTTATCTTCCTAGATGGTCCTGATATCATTTCCTCTATCTAATTCTTGTCTAAGAGACATTTTGTTATTGTCGTTTCGTTTCTTTTGTATGATAATCTTTTCTACACTTCAGGAACTGGCAGAATTGGAAGCAAGACATGAACGAGTCTGGCAGAATGTTGCGCGTATGTGTCATTTCTACCATTAGTTTCTGGTTTCTTCTGCTACCATTGAGTTGTAGGTTTACTAAGAAGCCTTTATTACAAGATCATCTTCTGTTGGAATTTTAATCAAAATGTAGGATAAGTGAATCGAGGGATGTAATAGTTGCATTTTAAGGTCTTATATCTTTGTCATGAATTTCTGAGATAAGAGGAGATGTAGAGAATGAGAGTGAGAGACGTCCACACATCCAAAGATAATGGCTAGTAGTGCAAGATTAGCCTCACCAGCCTTAACATAGGCCTCTTAGTTGTAAATACTAAATACTTGAATGCTGGCAACAGTGGCAAAAAAGAAGTTATCTTACATTCATTTCTTATGTGTCAATTTTTTATTTTTTTTTGGAAACTCTGTCAATTTTATACCAGTTAGCTGGTAACTATTTTGTTTTGATCTCAGTCAACAGATTACTATTAATGCACTGTTCTCCGTATCTTTGAAAGGGTTATGCAGATCCAAATTGGGATCCGCCATATAATTTCGATAAGTTGATTGAAATCAGATCCAAATTGTCTTAATTATTGTATTTTCGAGGTAGAATATGGCATATTAATTTGTTTTCCTTGTTTCTTCCCAAAGGTGGTGTAAATCAGGAAGAATCTGTTGCCACAGAAGGAGTGAGGTAGGTCTGCTAACATGCGTAACAACACCACCACCGCTATATCCTGCCCAAGTTTGTTTTATCACCCATATTTCATGTTTCTTTATGGCCATGTCATGTCTTTATGCTTACATTGTTGTGTTGTTAATATGTTACAGGAACTCCAAAGAGAAAGAGGCAAAGAAAGCAAAAGATGCTCCAGAGTATGTTCCATATTCCTCATCTGCAAGTTTGCGCAAGCATCGCTAATTACATCTTGAAATCATAAATAATATGATGATGACTGGAATTTGTGAATTCCCTTGTTCTGAAATCTATAAACAAAGAATCCCAAAATCTTCAAGTTTAAAGCGACATATATTAGGATGAATGTCATTTTCCCTAAAAATGAGTGCTGGATTGATGATACTACATGTTGAACTTTTTTTTTTTCCAGGTCTACAGAGCTAACAGGATCCCGTCAAACATTCAGGCCAGGGACATGGCAGCCACCAACGTGAAGTCGAGTTGATAATGCCGTAATGCATAATTAAGGGTCCGACCACGCTAACCCTTGTGTCGAAGCATAATGCACGGATTTGCTCTGCCGGTGCCAGAGTATAGCTGAGTTGTTAGAATGTTGGCGAAGCTCCGTATGGTTCCTTGTAGCGAGCTTCTTTTGTGGCACAATGCAGTGCATTTGATTTTTGCTTTCCCTCTTGAGATCCAAAGAAAATAAAAAACAAGCACAGTACATCCTTCATTTTTAGTTTTTTGACAAGTGAATACAGAGTTATACACCAAATTTTGGTTACATTTATGTACATCGAAGTCGCTATGACTTGCGGAAGAATTTTGTTGTGTGATCAAGGTCTTGAGAAATAAATTTAAGGTTGTATGCCATATCATTCCAAGTGCCTGCAGTTACACAAATAAACACTCGGTTTGTAGAAACAGTTTGAAACATTTGACTATAACATGCTCCGCCTAACACTAATTAGTTCTGACTTCTGACCAGCTATATTAAAATAACAAATCTGGACACAAAATTGCTCAAAATATAATCAAAATTACATCAAAGTAGGGTTTGTTCTTAATATTAATGTTATGCAAACTACTTATGTTGTTTATTAGTAAAATTTAAACTTACATCTACTTAATTGAAACGTTATTCAAAAGTACAAAATTGAAAATGTCTTTTATTGTGTCTCAATTTACCTCATGCATTTTTCTTTTCGCAATTTATTACGTAACTATGCTAAAAGAGTCAGTAGCTTCACGTGACAAGGGCTCTTTCTTATTTTCAACTCGTGTACACATTTGCAACATCTAAAACATCAAAATTCAAGCTAACACGAAAACAAAAAAAAAAAACTCCCAATCACGATCACAAAATTCTTAGGATCCCTGAAAAAACAATCTTCCTTTTCCCAGATTTTATTCACTATTTCTTGAACACATCCATACTTTCACTGTTGAAAACACCAAAAAGTTCAAACTACGTCAACAAACAAGCATTTTTTTTCAAACTAGTTCGACAAAATGAGATAAAGTAGAACACAAAAAGAGATAAAGGGACACATAATATGTCGATGGTAAATTGATATTTTGCGTAGAGCTCACTTACAAGTAATCTTTGTCATTTAGCACTAATTTAGTGATACTTTTTTTAACTTGGCTCCTTAATTGATGATTCTCTTCAAGATGCTTTGTTACTTATTCACAAAATTCCATGCCTATGATCGGAACTGTTGTGTTATAAATCTCTATATAAAGATCATCTATGTAAAAAAAATTAATAAATACGGAATCCTTAGTTATCGAACTGTGAAAACACAAACGGTCAAATACTGTAAATATCTTACGAGCTGCATCTATTTACTACAATTAATTGACTAAACGACTTTATTTTAATTTGATTTTTTTTGCATAGATGATATTTACAGAGTGATATTTGTCGGTTTCCATCATAAACATAAAATTTCGTAAATCGATCATAAAGTATCTTGAGAAGGAACTCCTTAAAGTTAAAGCATTTTCATTTAAATATATTGCGACACAATTTGTATCATTTAAATATATTGTGCGATGTTTGGAGAAACTTTTTTGTGTGTTCGGAACACATATTAGTACATCATATATCATTATACGTGCAGACAAATTTTACATTTCAAGTGTTCATTACTTATAAAATAATATGTGATGTAACACTCGTATTCTGAACAACTGAAAATCACTCTAGTGTCTGTTCTGTTCTACAAAAGAAAAAATCTGAAAAAAAAAATGGAAAATGAAGGGCCATGAAGCTACATAACAAAGAGACACATCATCAGTGACATGCATTCGTAAGGATGAGACACATCAATCACACCACTTTGTCTTGGCTCCAAAGGGAAAATTTATGTTCTTCCACCACCGCCACCGTCCCAATACGATCGTGCATCCGCAGTAGCTAGACACAAATATATAGCCACATGTACAAAGCCACGTCAGCATCTTCTTCTCGAGCACTCCCTTTTCTGTCTAGTATACTCTTTATTACAGGGCGTTCTTCTACTATAAGCTCGTCCTCGGTTACGTTTATCCGTCATCATAAGCATCTGCAGCGCTGCTTCATGGCCACCGTCGCCGATACGTACGTACAAACTATATTACATCTACAGCGACTCCTTGACCGGCTTTGTTTTCTTTATTACAAGTGATATCACTATCTTATACTAAGAGAAGAGAAGGGGTTTTAACTCGAAACTCAATGGTTAAAAATGAATGCTCTATCCACCACGACAATCCACTTTCGACTCCTTAACTAGTTTAGTTTAATGCTAATGTTATGTATGATGATTTTCTTTCTTTCATATATATCATGTGTAGTTTGCTTTTTAGGCTGCCCTAATTGTTTAATGACCTTTCTTCCGAGTGTTGAATTCTTCTTCTTTTTAGTTTAATAAAGTTTCCTAATGTGTTATATGATGATGGTTTGTTTGGCTGCTGAGAAAATGTAGTAGTAAAGATGTAACATAGTCTCAAATGCTTAAATTCACTAATATATATACATTTAGGATGTTGGACCCAATTAAGTAACCATTAAAGTGTGTTTTTTGTTCGTTATAAGGGATTTGAGTTAAACTTGGCAAATAATTTTCTTTTGTTGACAATATGCATTTCACATCGAGAAAACATGAGAACTTGCATATGCGGTTATAAGTAGTTGGGCTGCTCTTCGTTTGACTAATTGGTTTTATGGCGGAACCAACTTCATTCAGATTTGCATAGTATTTATTTCCTTCTTTTTAATGCCATTGATATCTTACTTGATGCAACTGCATCGTGGTTTGGATTATAACGTTTCATATTTTTGCTTCGAGGATCTACAGCTTCTGAAAATGCTTATAAGGGAATACTAACCGGTCTTCCAAAGCCTGGAGGTGGCGAGTTCGGAAAATTCTACCATGTCTATTGGCCATATCCCCAGAATCGCTGCGCTTGATATTATTGTGTGTTTGGACTAACGAAATGAAATGGTTTTCTTAAATCATTTTTCAGTTGCCATTGATGCTATTAGGAACGGCGAATGAAATATATGCTTTACGAATCCGCAAGTAACTTTATTTATCTCCACAATATATTCAACTGATGGAAAATTTTTACAGACTTTTTTTGGTGCTGACAGGACAGGTTTCCTTATTCTATAAAGATACTCTTGGAATCTGCAATTCGCAACTGTGACAATTTTCAGGTGACCAAGGAGGATGTTGAGAAAATAGTTGATTGGGAGAATACATCGCCAAAGCAAGTCGAGGTTCCATTTAAGCCAGCTCGCGTTCTTCTCCAGGTTCGGAGCTGTGTTCAACAATCAATTTGATTAATTTAGTTTTTGAAACCTCTTCTACCTCCATATAAGGCATTATGTTTGTTGCCCAGGACTTTACTGGAGTACCAGCCGTGATTGACCTTGCATGTATCCGGGATGCCTTGAAGAAGCTTGGAAAGGATCCTAACAAGATAAATCCATTGGTTTGTAATTTCTCTCAACCATGCACATCACAAACTTCTTGAGTAGTTCAATATCGATAGATAGCTAAAATCTTGAAAGGAAGCTTGAACACTATTTAACTTTTGAATTGCCATTATACGTAGGGTTAGCAATTTATGATTTTTTGAATATTTACATATTAACTCTCATCAGGTTCCGGTAGATCTTGTCCTTGATCATTCAGTCCAGGTTGATGTAGCAAGAACTGAAAATGCACTTAGGGAAAATATGGAACTTGAATTTGAGAGGAATAAGGAGAGATTTGCTTTCCTCAAATGGGGAATTTCTCATAGCTCTCGTGTTGTACCTCCCGGTTGTGGAATTGTCCATCAGGTAAAGAAATTGGCTGTATGGCATGAATAATGGGTCACTTGGCTTACCCACTAGCTGATGTTATTAATCTTTAACCTCTTAGGTTAGTTGTTGAAGTGCGATTATTAGGGCTTTCTGTTCGTCTGGAGGAATTTCCGGTGATGGGGAGGTTTGGCTGCTGAAAGGAGCAGCAGCATGTTCTCCATAGGAGGGCGCCGGTTGTTTGATATGGTGGTCAGTGCTTTCTGCTTTTGTTAGCAGGCTGTAAGAAGGACAGAGTTAAACTGAAAGCCTTTTGTGGGGCTTTAGGTGTAGCCTTAAGGCTCACAATCAAAATTAACTTTAGGTATTCAAGCATGCCAGCTGATATGCGTTTATAAGTGACAGTTAGGAGGAATGCCAGTATGACTTTAGTGTGTATGTTTGGATTTGCCTAAGGACCAATTTAGCTGATGGAAGGCCTTTGTAGGGCCTTGAGGTATAGGCCTTGAGGCTTGAAAATCAATGCTAACCAAGGTTTGGATTATAGGTTGGTAGTGGTTCTATTGTGCACAGAAGTATTTGCGCTATTGAAACTTTATGTATCATAAGCCCGAAAGTAAAAACTTCAGAAGCCTTTTTTTTGTTGAGGCCAAGATTTTCCTTGGATGTCTTAAGCCATCAAAATTCACTTCGAAGCTATGAATATTGTATATGGTAATAATGCCGATTAAGAAGGACACAGAATAAAACTGAAGAAAAATGTGTCTGGATTACTTCCGCCCAGATAAGATTTTGACTTCTTGTTAAAGAGTCTTGGGGTGTGGTTTCAACTTGTATCCATAGTTTTATTGTTTATAAGGTTAAGCCGAATGGGATTGAGAGTGCTATATTCCCTAACTTTGCATATTCCAAATTCTTTAGCTTGACATGGTTGGTTTGTTTGGTCACCGACCAAAAACCGACCAGATTCAGAACCAAGACAACCTTTTAATCATAAACTTGCTAGAAATAACTTGGATATAGATGGAAGTATACATCATATTACTAGCTTTATGAATGAAAAGACAGAACAGAGGATCAGCAGGGTTCACCTTGTCGGGGCAAGGCTTATCGTCTTGCAACTTTCTCTCTTGTGATTTACAAGGGTTTGAGAGCTAGAATGGGAGATTGGGAGATGAGTACATATCTATACAGACAGAAACAAGGTAGGTGCAGAGCTTTTACAAAGGGTTTTTGGAGCTTCGTATGCAAATCTAGCTTGAGCAGAGTTTGTGTATTTGTTTGTTTGGTTGAGTGTCATTATCTCTGATTTCTCCTTCCCTTTTATAGATGATTTGGTTTGACTGTCCGCAGCACCGATCTTACCCGAATGCGGCTGAAAGGTAATGACTCATCAACTTTTTACTTGTACTGTCATTGTAAAGTACTTTTGGGCTGATTAGCTGGCTAGTCTACACCACTTGACTTCTAGGTAGGTGAGCAAGTGGATCAAGTGATCTGCACTTAGTCGGGAAAAGGGCTTTTTCCGCCTTCTGGGCTTCGGCTGAACCTTGGGCTTCCTTCCTTCTATACCTTC